CACGGGGCAGTTCAGGCCACACGTGGACACGTCTCTTACGAATCGTATCGAATGTCTGGTTTTCCATCAAATGTCGAGGCAAAATTTTTGCATTAAAATGCATCAAATGTCGGATTTATCAAATGTCGATGCCATCGAATGTCGGGGGTCCACTGTATTATTATTATTATTATTATTATTATTATTATTATTATTATTATTATTATATAAATTATTTGTAATTTCTATTCACACAAAAAATATAAGATTTACTGTTATTTCTTATTGCAATAATTGTATAAATATGTCAACCCATTCACGACTGCATATTGGAATGGACAGTGATGTCATTTGTTTACCCTGAAACAGCCAAGCAGTGGACCATTTCTCCTAGGTTGAGCTCAATTTCAAGGCACTTTTTGTCATGAAAGCAATCAAAATCATATCTATTTCTGTAATATATCTTCCATTCTATCAAATGAGACCAAAAAAAGAGAATGCAACCATAAAAACCATACGAAAATACCACTAGGGGGTGGCTAATTGCTGAGAAGTGAGCTCCATTATTTATGCTTAGATTTCTTTCATTATTATTATTATTATTATTATTATTATTATTATCATTATTATATAAATAATTTGTAATTTTTATTCACACAAAAAATATAAGATTTACTGTGACGTCATTTGCTTACACTGAAACGGCCAAGCAATGGACCATTTCTCCTAGGTTGAGCTCTATTTCAAGGTACTTTTTGTCATGAAAGCAATCAAAATCATATCTATTTCTGTAATTTATCTTCCATTTTATCAAATGAGATCATAAAAACAAGAATACAACAATAAAACCCATTCGAAATTACCACTAAGGGGAGGCTAATTGCTGAGAAGTGAACTCCATTATTTATACTTAAATTTCTTTCGGTTTTGGTGTACATTAAGAAGCATCTTTCCATCATACATTGCCCAAGTTTCAATAAGATAGTCCAACAAACAAATGGGATACAATTCTCGAGATCAAGAGCAAGAGCCCCTCACCAGTGTCAAGGAACCTGTCTTGAGGTCTGCTCGCTTGTGGAAATTTTGCTCGTGTATGGAAGCAAAGAATCAACCCATCAACTGCTTGTATTTGGAAAAACTCGCACGTGGACACGCTCGCAAGTAGAGGTTCCACTGTATATGGTATTTTAGCATGTGTGCGGGGTGATCCTGTTAAATGTATGTGTGTTTAGAAGCTATTGAGGACAAGTGTGAAAGATCAGTATACAGAAGCAGAGGATCTCAGCTGGCACTGAGCAAAGTCATTCATCCTGAAAATAGTGGATTTATATTTTAACTCTCCTTTTAACAACATCTGACTTGTACAGATCCTCCCCATCTTCCGATCTATGTGACTTATGTCTATCCACACATATAACTGAAAAAATCATAAGATGACTGACAAAGTATAAGACAGTAATGAGTAACAAGAAAATTGACAGGCCTAACTTAGGTGACATTCCATACAGCATTTTTATTTGTGAAGCCTATGAATAATGTCTATAAGTAAGGAACATCAGTTTGTGAGTAATGAAACTTAAGGTAATAAAGCAGGTTGATAAATAAGCAAGATAATCATGACAGAAATTTAGTAGGTTAAAAGAAGGCTGTACTGGTATATGACTTCTACATGCCATGCTAACATACTTCCAACATCTGTCCATTTCGAGATCTGACCAGTTGGCTGGAACAGAACTTGAAAAGGACATTTGCAGAGAGGAATGCCATCATCATTTCAGCACTTGCCAGCTTTGCACCACTTCAAATCAAATAAAAATTTTATTTCTTTGCAAAGGTTACAATGTGTGTTTACATTTCATAATTTGATTGGTACAAAGAAAGCCACTATCATGCCGTGGCATTTCGGGCAGATTTAACCTAATATTTAACCCTTAGACTGTTTCGGTCGTATATATGTCTTCCAAGCCAGTTTGTTTGACGTATTAATATGCCAAAATTCTAGCAGCTTCAAATCAAGCAGGAGAAAGCTGATAGTCCCACATGTGAGAGAATGGGTCTCCATGGTAAGTGTGTGCACTATAAAAAAAATCAGGGAGCCAGTGGTGCATTGTGGGAATGCTATTTCAGTAGTCCTTGTTCAGCATGCCTAATGGTAAGAAATATGTGACTCCCCGGCGAATCTGGGACTCTTCTCTTCCCAAGTAATCGCTCTAACACAGATGTGTCAGTGAAGATGAATTTCATAGTTTTGAGGAGTTTGTGACCAAAAGCAATGCACAGAATACTAGAAGAAAGGAAGAAAGAGAAAGAAGGAGCATGAAAGAGAAAAAGAGAAAGGAGAAGAAAGGAGAAGAAAGGAGAAAGAAAGATAATTAGGAAGGTGGATGGTGGGGAAGCAAGCATCAGACCCCATTGTGTTGACAGGCGGTAGGGGGAGTGAGTAATGATGTACTGTGTCATTTTGACAGCTGCCAGACCCTGACTCAGCACATTTAGAAGTCTCCACATACTCACACACAACACATGCTTCCTGAAGATAATAGCAGTTCTATGAAAGTGTCCAGCGACTATATATGTGTATATATATTATAGAAACCAGAAGGAAGGAAAGAATGAAGACAGAAAGAAAGGTAGGTAGGAGGGAATGATGACACATTTACCTAGGATAACTACCTAACACTACTATCTGCTACTACTATGAAGAAAACTGCTCAGACAAGGTGTTTTATTTGTTCACATAGAAAAAGAAAACTACCACAAAAACACAGGACCACTCATTTTATGTGTGAGGAGTGTAATACACCATTGTGTATGAAACCATGTTTCAAAGAGTTCCACAAGCTGTAGAACTTATAGGAGCATGTCCAGTGACTATATGTGTATATATAATAAAGAAAAATAGTAATAAATAATTTTTGGTATTGTTTGTGTAAACAAGTTTTGTAAACAATATATTGATAATTGTTTGTGTGCTTATTGTGTTGTATACAAGGAGTGTATATATGTACATTGCACTGTACTTTGATCTCACAGGCCACATAAGTTACTTGAAAAAAAAAAACAAGAAACCTTTGAATGCAAGTAAACCAAAGTTTACCGGTGAGTGACATTTGCTGCTGTTGCCATACGTGGCTCATTTTCTGCCAACTTTACTGCTCTATATCTCTGTAAGTACTGATCGCAAATTTTTTGGGGGGGGGACTTTAAACAATCAAAATTAACTTTAACATTTTCATAAGAAAAAAAAAAAGAATTTTTTTTTTTTTTAATATTCTTCGACACCAGGAGACACTTCAGGATTTGGGGTTGTGAGGGGTTGAGAGGGACCTGACCTCCCAACATCTGAGTTCTTACCTCTTCTAGTGACCTACGTCTCACCTCTTGGCGCTATAAAAGGCTCCATCCTGTCACTTCATCTCCATATTGTTTCATACTATGGAACAATGCTCTTCTCCAGACTGAGGGACTGACCACCTCAAAACTTTAAGGGTGATGGACTGATTACATCGTCTTCTAGTATCTTCTGCTTCTATCAACTTTTCTGTACTTGACTGAAGAAGCCTACTTTGTAGGCGAAACGTTTCGAAATAAAGATACCTAACTGTTGCATATGTGTCTTACCTAACAACCTGTCGGTATTTTATACCATTTTAATGTTCAGTTAAGGGATAGTAAAATATTTGGGAGAGTTGCTTCAATTTTGTTTAGAGATCAGCATAGTGTGGGTATGGTTGTTATTGAGAGAGTAGAAGATTTTTAAGTATAATCCTGAATTGATTTGTGGGCAGGGGGACTTCTTGCTGATTAAGGCGAAAAGTTCCAGATCTTTGGGCCCATTATGTGCGTTGGATTTTTGCATAGTGTGAGATGGACATGAGGGATATCAAAAAGTGTTTTGTGCCTCGTGTTATGCCTGTTTCCATTGTGAAATCACTGATAGAAACACACATGTACGTGATGAATGGTTTTGAAAACCGACAACTTGAAGAATTGAGACACTTATGCAACATATGGGAATCTTTATTGAAGAAACATTTTGCCACACAGTGGCTTCATCAGTCCAATACAAAGTAGAAATGGGTAAGGAGAGGAGTAGGTTGAGGTAATCAGTCCCTCAACCTGGAATCGATGTGTTTAGTCCATCAATCTTGTAGGAAGTACAGCATAGGGCCAGAGAGGTGGCCCTATGCTGCAGTCAGATGTGTTGAAGCAGGAGGAGGCGGGATCACAGTGGGACCTTCCACTAGTGTAAGTAGGTCATCGTCCTAAGGTTGGACAAGCGTTGAAGTCTTTGTATCAAGATCCCATGATGTTGCAGTGTACGCTGCAACATCTCCTTACCCATTTCTACTTTGTATTGGACTGATGAAGCCACTGTGTGGCAAAACGTTTCTTCAATAAAGATTCCCATATGTTGCATAAGCGTCACACATGTATGTGCTTGTAACTACTCCAGTACCATGACTTGAAATTGGAAATCAGTCATAGCCTATACTAAAGGTGGCCCTACCTGCTTTGTCATTTTGGTATGATATTACTTTTGTTTATACTGGTATAGGCTATATCACCACACAGCTAAAACTAAGAAAGTGCAAAATTGGGGCTAGTTTCAACCTTTTGTTATAAGAGTAGCATGCCAAACTTTATTGACAGCATAAAACAGCTGCAGTTTGCCTGAAGTTTTTTCTTCTGTGGGTTAACTTAAAAATGGTTTCTGTTGTTTTTGCTAAATACATATTTATATCTAGTGATTCTATATGTTAATTTGCATCATATTTCCATTCACAGTGTTGTTTAGATTAATGTCTGAGGAACACTTAGTATGTGATACTTGGCTGTGAATACACAAAATATAAGTTATCTAGTTCTTTTCCTGTATAAGTGTTCCACTAGTGTTGTCAGACCATATCATAAAACATAGCTGCTTTTGTATATTAAGCTATGGCTTTTTATTTCATGAAGCATTAGGGAGAGCATGTGTGGTATATCCTTCATCAAGCGCTCCTGCTTGTACCTTTCAGTTAAAAAGAATGAGTGACCGAGACCTACTAGATTTGGGGCTGACCAAGGGCGCTCTCACCAAGCTTCGTCGAGTGTTGATTGGTTTGGAGTCTCCTGCTCACCACATCCCCAATGGCTTTACTAACCCCTCATCTCTTGCCTCACATCCACCTCCTTCACCTCATCCTCACAGTACCCCTTACAGTGCATCACATAATTCTACTAATAATCATTCTGCTGCAACTATTCTCCCTTCATATAACTCTCAGTCCTCAGCACAAAACACTTCTCAAAGTACAATTTCACACTCTGCAAAGTCATGCCTGTCAAGTGATTCACCTAGTGCTCATACTTGTTCTCAAACCTCTACCATTAATACACAAACATCACAAAATTCATTACAAAACAAAGTGTCAGAAACAAATTGTAACAGTAAGACTCCCCAAACCACGCCTTTAAATTCCTCAGCACGAAATACATCATCCCATCGAGGAGGAACCTATTCTCAGCCATCAAGCATCGTCAGCACTATTCCTACTTCCACCACACATTCTACTCAAAATATGTCATCAACATCAACAACTACAGTTAACACATCTGTCACTGCTTCCTCGGCTGCCTCCTCGTTCCTTTCTTCCTCCTCTCCCTCTACAACAAATCCTGCAACCACAGCTACAACCACAACTACCACTACTGCTTCCACCACATCTATTGCTGCCAGTGCAACTGCTACCACCACCACTTTCACCACCACTTGTTCCCCCTCATCTTATATTATATCTACTAACACTACATCTCCTAGTGCTTCTACTGTTGTTATTACTTCTGGGAGTATAGTAGTGACAACAACTACATCTGCAAACATTGTTGCCACAACACATGTCACTCAGTGCCACATACTTTCACCTAGTCCAAAGGGGGGCTCAGTGATAGCACAACAGCCGTCTGTTAATTCTTCCACAAATATTGGGAGCACACCATCGACCACTTCCATTAGTGTTCAGGGAACTCTTTGTATTGGTAGCTCTTCATCTGCTACTGTCTCAAATTCTCCCTGTAGTGTTCTTCCCTCTGTGTCTCCTGCTGCTGCTGTTCCTCATTATATGACCACTCCTCCTCCGCCCATCCACCATAAGACACCACCTCTGCCTGCTGGCACTGCTACTAACCACGGTCACCACCACATGGCTACTCAGCTGCCTCCAGGCCAACATAGAACTCCTCCGCCTCCATTGTGTCCTCCTCCACGTACTCCTTCGCGGGAGCCATCCACTCCAAACACAAGCACTGGGCTCACAATGTGTAATGGAGTTCAACAGGTTAGGCTATTATTATTTTTGCTTGTATATGTTCAGTGTATTGAAAAAAAAAATGTTCAGTATTACTTACCCATTTGTTAAGATGCATTTTCTTCCAGAAATTCAAGACAAAATCATCCCACATCTAACACTGTATGACTAAGTACAGTATTTATATGAGTGTATAGGGGTGTTGGGGTGCTGTGTGGTGTTTCTTTTATTTTCTATATCCATCCCAGCTTTACTTTTATTGAATGTTTTCCACTTTTAGCAGATTTTGCTTTTCTATTGAGTTTTTTTTTTCCAGAAGTTTTTGATTACAAAAGCACCAGAGCCTTTCTTGCATAGATTTTATTTGACATTTCCTGCTCATTGAGTTACTAAGAGTACAGATTTTCCTTAATTTTCCATTTATATATAGAATTGATGTTTTATGTTTCACACTTAAATACAGTTTTTTTTATATATATATATATATATATCAGGGTGCATTTTTTCATGTCTGCATGTTCCTTAAGGAGTGGAATATAAATTTCAGTAGGGCCTCGCTTTACGGCATTCCGCTAATACAGCAATTTCAAATTATGACCAAAATTTGCTATACGGCAAGCGGTCTTTCAAATACGGCGCTTCCCACCTGGTTTGTTTACATACTCCATGAACACATCTCTCCATTAGTCTGGAAATTTTCCAAATTTTCAAGTGTTTTAAAAGTTACCTGGACCTGGAGTTTACCTGGAGAGAGTTCCGGGGGTCAACACCCCCGCGGCTCGGTCTGTGACCAGGCCTCCTGGTGGATCAGAGCCTGATCAACCAGGCTGTTGCTGCTGGCTGCACTCAAACCAACGTACGAGCCACAGCCCGGCTGGTCAGGAACCGACTTTAGGTGCTTGTCCAGTGCCAGCTTGAAGACTGCCAGGGGTCTGTTGGTAATCCCCCTTATGTATGCTGGGAGGCAGTTGAACAGTCTCGGGCCCCTGACACTTATTGTATGGTCTCTTAATGTGCTAGTGACACCCCTGCTTTTCATTGGGGGGATGTTGCATCGTCTGCCAAGTCTTTTGCTTTCGTAGTGAGTGATTTTCGTGTGCAAGTTCGGTACTAGTCCCTCTAGGATTTTCCAGGTGTATATAATCATGTATCTCTCCCGCCTGTGTTCCAGGGAATACAGGTTCAGAAACCTCAAGTGCTCCCAGTAATGAGGTGTTTTTATCTCCGTTATGCGCGCCGTGAAGGTTCTCTGTACATTTTCTAGGTCAGCAATTTCACCTGCCTTGAAAGGTGCTGTTAGTGTGCAGCAATATTCCAGCCTAGATAGAACAAGTGACCTGAAGAGTGTCATCATGGGCTTGGCCTCCCTAGTTTTGAAGGTTCTCATTATCCATCCTGTCATTTTTCTAGCAGATGTGATTGATACAATGTTATGGTCCTTGAAGGTGAGATCCTCCGACATGATCACTCCCAGGTCTTTGACGTTGGTGTTTCGCTCTATTTTGTGGCCAGAATTTGTTTTGTACTCTGATGAAGATTTAATTTCCTGGTGTTTACCATATCTGAGTAATTGAAATTTCTCATCGTTGAACTTCATATTATTTTCTGCAGACCACTGAAAGATTCGGTTGATGTCCGCCTGGAGCCTTGCAGTGTCTGCAATGGAAGACACTGTCATGCAGATTCGGGTGTCATCTGCAAAGGAAGACACGGTGCTGTGGCTGACATCCTTGTCTATGTCAGATATGAGGATGAGGAACAAGATGGGAACGAGTACTGTGCCTTGTGGAACAGAGCTTTTCACCGTAGCTGCCTCGGACTTTACTCTGTTGACGACTACTCTCTGTGTTCTGTTAGTGAGGAAATTATAGATCCATCGACCGACTTTTCCTGTTATCCCTTTAGCACGCATTTTGTGCGCTATTACGCCATGGTCACACTTGTCGAAGGCTTTTGCAAAGTCTGTATATATTACATCTGCATTCTTTTTATCTTCTAGTGCATTTAGGACCTTGTCGTAGTGATCCAATAGTTGAGACAGACAGGAGCGACCTGTTCTAAACCCATGTTGCCCTGGGTTGTGTAACTGATGGGTTTCTAGATGGGTGGTGATCTTGCTTCTTAGGACCCTTTCAAAGATTTTTATGATATGGGATGTTAGTGCTATCGGTCTGTAGTTCTTTGCTGTTGCTTTACTGCCCCCTTTGTGGAGTGGGGCTATGTCTGTTGTTTTTAGTAACTGTGGGACGACCCCCGTGTCCATGCTCCCTCTCCATAGGATGGAAAAGGCTCATGATAGGGGCTTCTTGCAGTTCTTGATGAACACGGAGTTCCATGAGTTATTGCGTGTTTTATAAATAAATACTCTGATAATTATACTTATGTGTACCTGTACATAAATATGTATACTTACACACTATGCTGGTACACATTAAAATCACTAAGAGTCTCACTACTCAACGATATATAATAATCTCTTGGGCGCATTAATCCTTTCAGGGTTGGTGCTGTACTAGTATGGCTTGCGCGCCAGGGTTGGTGCCGTACTAGTACGCATAAATTCTAGCGGCTTCAGATTAAGCGGGAAACAGCTGGTAGGCCTAGATGTGAGAGAATGGGACCCAGTGGTGCATTGTGGGAATGCCATTTTAGTACAATTTGCTCATCATGCCTCACGGTAAGAAACTCCTCACTCCTCGGCGAATTGGGACATTTTTGTTCCCCAGTGACAGTTCTAATGCAGATGGAAGTGCCAGTGACGATGAGTTTCAAGGTTTTGATAAGGTTGTGACCGAAACTAATGACCATAATACCGGTAATAGTGAGGAAAATCCAGACGACCCTCAACCTTCCACTTCTGGTGTTGGGCCGTCTTGTTCACGTTCAGTTGTACCAGAACCAAAAGGAAACTCGTATTTTCCCATATCCCGGACTTAGATGTCAGCATTGGTGATGATAGTGGCAGTGAATATGTACTACAAGCTCTTGAAAACAGTTCCAGTGGCGATAGTGAAGTAGAATATTCTCCAGTGAAGCGTCAGTATATATGACGGTATATGCGCTCTGGTAGTGTGCCATATGCTATTTCAAGGGGAAAGAGTACATTTTGGAGTACATCCCATGGCTGTACAACAGGAACAGATAGTGAAAATGAAGATGATAGTGTTGCAAATGGGATGGAAAATGGGCATGCATCTGGTGGAGGTAGTGGTGGTGCCAGCCGTGAGGCAGCAGCAGTGGGCCATGCTGCCACCCACACTGCTGCCTCAGCTGATCTACAACAAAGGCCACCATCCCCCACCCACCCACCATACCAGCCTCCACAACCACAACTTCCACAACCTCCACAACCACAGCCACCTGTCAGTATCCAGTACCCACTTGCAGACCGCACCTGGGATTGGCAGGAAGCTGCCAGTTTTGTTCCAAATCCCCATCACTTTGATGAAAGCCAAAGTGGAATACAGCCATCTTGTACACTTGAAAACAATGCCACTGAACTGGAATGTTTCGAGTTATTCTCTGACGAACCCCTGCTGAAAATTATTGTCAGGGGAAAGCAACAGATACTTCGAGTACACCATGGCAAACACAAAACTTTCACCAAACTCATGCCTACACCAGTGGAAGGAGACAACTGTGGCTGAGATGTATCTTTTGTTTGCCACAATAATGCTTATGCCTGATTGCAACCCCAGGTTTCAGTGGTATAATAGGAGTGAATCGATTTGTGCTACTATTACGTATGCTACACTTCTCAGACAAAACCAGGCCTGACAGAAACGACAGGTTATATAAGATTAGGAATGTGTTTGTGTATCTGAAACAGAAATTCAGTATGTATTTTTATCCCTTCAGGAAGCTTGTTATTGATGAGTCTATGATTCTGTTCAAAGGAAGACTCTCATTCAAGCAGTATATACCAAGCAAGAGGAAATGCTTTGGTATAAAGTTGTTTGTGCTTTGTGATTACTACAGTGGTCTTGTATTGGATATAATTGTGTACATTGGAAGTAATACATTGTGAGATACCAGGAAGTTACTGGGTATCTCTGGTGATGTGGTTAGAACAATGATGGAACCATATCTTGGTAAGGGGTATATATTATATACTGATAAATGGTACACAAGCCCCTTACTCAGTGATTTCTTGCGAGTGAGCATGACAGATGTGTGTGGCACAGTGTATGCAAATCGTAAACATGTGCCCAGGTTCGACGCTGGCACTCGTAGAGGTGAGGTGCAAGCGTTTGCTGCCAATGACATCATGGGATTTCGGTGGCATGACAAACGAGATGTCACACTGTTGTCATCAGTTCACCCTAACGAAATGGCAGACACTGCCAGGCAGCATAGAGAGACCAATGAACCCATTCTAAAACCTGCAGCTGTAATTGACTACACCCTCAATATGCATTCAGTGGACAAATGTGACATGCAAATTGAGTTTGCTGATTGTGTTCACAAGAGTTATAAGTGGTACACAAAACTCTTTTTCCATATTCTGGACATTTCCATGCTCAATGCTTATAATATGTATAAGATGAGAACCAGAAACAAACCACCATATGGCGAATTTTGTTTGTCATCAGACAAATAATAATAAAGTACCAAGGAACAACACCTGCAATAAAAAACCGCCTTATCGTCTGAAGCATGGTGATCACTTCCTAGTGAAACTGCCTGCTACTGCTTTCAAGAAAAAGGCTCAGAAGAGGTGTTACGTCTGTGCACATACAAAAAAACGCCCACAACAACGCAGAGACACTCGTTTTATGTGTGAGGAGTGTAAAACGCCACTTTTGCATGACACCATGTTTCAAAGACTTCCACAGGCTGCAGAACTTTTAGAAACATGTCCTGTGACTGTATATGTGTATATAAAATATAGAAAAATAGTAATAAACAACATTTTATATTGTTCATTTGTGTAAACAAGTTTTGTAAACAATATAGTGACAACAGTGTTTGTGCAGTTATTGTGTAGTATAGACAGAAAACAAAACTTATAAGATAGTGCTCATATTGGT